GTTGATTTTTACAAATTATTACCCAACTGAAAATCTAAAAACGGAAACACTTCCTCTCCTCTACTTCTCATTCCTCTCTAGTTAAAAAAAAAAAAGGAGCTAAATTGCCTGGGCACAGTTAAGGTAAACTTGACAACAGCTGGGGTAAGTAGCAATTTGAACAGGATATTTATGTTTATATTTTCATATCCCTCCGTGTTTAGATAAAAACTGTAGCGTCACATGTCCACATGCAAGCAACTTTATATGATGTTGCTACCAGCATTAAGGATATCAGATTATCACAGAATGACTGAAGAGTTGCAACATTTCAGAGAACCTGCATGGTGGCCAAGTGCACATGAGACACATGATAATGGAGAACATGCGTGTGTGTGCATGTGTGGGTGATTAAGCTTTCATCGTTGTGTGACTTTGCAAAAGTTGTGTGTGATTTTTTCTCTCCTGTTCTTGTAAATGAGCATGAGCAGGCATTCAGAAGAACATGGAGAATCCTTAACCAATCTGAGAAATTTTCATATTGCAAAATGCACGATGATCATTATGTTCTATTAGTTACTTCAGGCAGGAGAAATAACTGGAGCCGCACCATCCCTTAATGCTGTATTAGACATTTTACATGGGAAATTATCATTAAAAAATTTGTTGTGTTAATTTATTCTTGTAAAGATTTATTTTGTTTATTCGAAAGGCAGAGTAACAATGGGAATGGGAGACACTTACAGAGACAGAGATCTTCCATCTGCTAATTCACTCCCCAAACAGCAGTTGTGGCTGGGGCCCAGCACAATAGCGTAGTGGCTAAAGTCCTCACCTTGAAAGCACCGGGATCCCATAGGGGCGCCAGTTCTAACCCCGGCAGCCCCACCTCCCATCCAGCTTTATGCCTGTGGCCTGGGAAAGCAGTTGAGGACGACCCAAAGCCTTGGGACCCTGCACCCGGGTGGGAGACCTGGAAGAAGCCCCTGGCTTCTGGCTCCTAGCTTCAGATTGGCTCAGCTCCAGCAATTGCGGCCACTTGGGGAGTGAATCATTGGACGGAAGATCTCCCTCTCTGTCTCTCCTCCTCTCTGATTTCTGCCTTTCCAATAAAAAATAAATAAATCTTAAAAAAAATAATTGTGGCTAAACCTGGTTGAAGTCAGCAGCCAGGAAGTCCACTCAGGTTTCCCACATGCGTGACAGGGACCCCAGCATTCAGTCCATCTTTCACTGCTTCCAGGCACATTAGCAGGGAGCTCCATATAGGATATTGTCGTTGCAAGCAGAGACGTAAACCTCTGCGCCACAATGCCAGCCCTTCAAGCCCATTTTGAATGGGAAAGTGTTGAAGCTAAGGTGGGAAAATCACTTGGCCAAATCAGACAGCCACAAGAGAGACAAGTCTGAGTGCAAACAGAGATGTTTGACTCAAAGCCATGAATTCTCCCACCAGATAATGATTCTTTTGTATGTGGGGAATATTTCCAACCGGGAAACATTAAGTTGCCCAAGATTTAGATAAACATGCTGAAAGGCCAATTATGATAGTACTGGTCTGGATTCATGTAGACCATCTTTTCCGCTGAATTCCAAATATCCGCAATGTAGCCTCAGGACATATTCTTGAGGCCAAAAGGCACAAGTGTTATGTTACCAGATGTGGGATCTGGAAGAACGAAGATTCTGCAGTTTGCTGAATGCCATAGAGTTAGCAGGAAGAAAAATTAAAATTGAAGTTTTCAGGTGCCAATTTATCTCCATTAGTAAGGACTGCCTCTCATCAAGTTTACCCTAGATTTTCTTCAAAAAGCAATAAATACTGTGGCTGTGTTTGTGTAAGTTTTTTAAAAATCTGCCTTTATGGAGCACCTACAATGTGCCAAATTCTTCCAGAGCGTGTTATTCTGTCATCCTCAGGGCTCGCTGACCTGCAGTGACTTCAATTGCATAGATGATTTGCCAGGACCCCATACAGGTATGATAAAGCTGGTTTTCAAATCCAGGCTTTCCCAGCTTGGCAGTCCAGATTTTTTTTTTGCTTTAAGCCACACAATATGAGTATAAAATTCTCTTCCCAATCCAATACAGAATTCTTGTACTATACACTACTACAAAATTCTCCGAGTTATGGGCTGTGGCAGCAGAATATGTTGTTATAAAGATGAAATGAATACACTCATATGCAGTGCACCATATCAATGTGTGGCATCAACTAAGGATTCAGTTGATGATGATGATGTTGGTGTTAGTAAAGATGAGGAGTACTGGAACTGTGTGAAAAACACTTGACATATTTCTCATGAAGTTTGATTCTGACAAGCTGGCTGCATACCTGTATTCTTGTACCAAAATCATCAGTTTTCTCATCAGCAGTTATTTACATGCAAACAGACCTAATCAATCGAAACAGTGATACATAATTATCAATCAGTGTGACTGTGTGCTGAGTTAACTTCTGGGAATAACTCAACTATTTGAGACATAGCCATTGCCCTTACTTCTAAGTTCTGGTAAAGTTTGAAAGGCTAGGATTAAATAATAACTTAAGAAAGTGTATGTTGAAATAGTTTAGTCTGCACAAGAAATGTGCAGAAATATCTGTGGAAGAAAAATGTGCTAAAATCACTGATGCAGACTGATCCCTCAAAGAGATGGGGAGAGTTGAAATGCTGTAATCCCAGGCAAGGAGGAAGGGATTCGCAGAAGGGATGAATGTTCCCTGAGGAAGGCAGCAATGGAATGTGGCCACTAACTGATTTCCTGGTAGACTGCAGGAGTGTGGACCGAAGTGTGGCCATGTGACAGCTGTGTCTGTGGCAGGCCATGTGTCATCTCTGAAGCTGTCCTGTTGGCAGGAGCCTCGTGTGGCCTTAGTTTCTCATCTGATTGCCCAATCTGTTCTAATGCAGAATCGTGTCCTCTCCTTGAAATTTTGACCATTTACATGGCTCATGACTTCACAGTCATTCTTCTAAAAATCCTCTTTCTTGGCTTCCCACAATAAATGTCCTAAGTAAAGTTGGTGTTTTAGGGGATGCTATTTCAAGGTCTTATTGCGTTATCATTAAACTTGTCATGATATCAAGTACTGCAGCAATGGTGTGGTGATTTTACTTCATCAGAATTCTTTTTTTTTTTTAAAGATTTATTTTTATTATTTTTTCATTGGAAAGGCGGATATACAGAGAGAGGAGAGACAGAGAGGAAGATCCTCCGTCCGATGATTTACTCCCCAAGTGAGCGCAACGGCCGATACTATGCCGATCCGAAGCCAGGAGCCTCTTCCAGGTCTCCCACGCGGGTGCAGGGTCCCAAAGCTTTGGGCTGTCCTCGACTGCTTTCCCAGGCCACAGGCAGGGAGCTGGAAGGGAAGCGGGGCTGCCGGGATCAGAACCGGCGCCCATATGGGATCCCGGGCGTGCAAGGCGAGGACCTTTAACCACTTGCGCCACAGCGCCGGGCCCCTTCATCAGAATTCTTACAACACTTGCATTGAGAATAGTTCCTAAGACTCTAGCTAGCAGGATCTCTTCCGCAGATCATGGCAGAGAAAATAACTGCCATTTTAACAGTGGCTCTTGCATTATCCAAGTATGTGTGTAGATATATGTGACATGTGATATGTATGTGATATAGAATTGTGAACTGTGGCAGTAGAATATGTTATAAAGATGAAATTGAATACATTCATGTAATGGGTATGCCCTTTGTTTAGTAGTTATTTCCCTATTTTCATATATCTGAAAATATGTAGGTGGCACAACAAACACATAATTCTACAGCACAAATATTATTGTACTGGTCATAGTTAAGGCATGTATCCATTTACAAAAAGTCCAGCACATAATGGTAACAGGTAATACTTGCGTAGGGAGAAAGGAAAGGAAAAGAAAGTGTACTTTATCTTGCTGTAACAGCTCCAGTCACCTGAAAATTGAGGCCTGATATTCTTCCTGTGTAACATGATGAGCTAGGAGGAATAGAGTTGGAAGGATCTTCAAAAAACTTCATGGAATATGCATATCATCAAAAAAATGTGGCCTGGGTTTTAAAATCATTTTTACACCCAGGTAAACTTCTTGTTTGACTCCTTTTTTTTTTTTCCTGCAAACTTTCTGAAAGACCCTCATAGCAGGATCCTTTCCAGAAGCAAAAAAGAAGTTATTAGGTCTCTGAAAGAACTAAGATGGATCTCATGACATGCCCCCCAGAAGGAAGGGCTGTTGTTTGGGCCAGGTTGCCGCTCAGAGAGCACGGGGGATTCTGAACTGTGACACAGGCTGGAGGCTCATTGGAGTGAGCCTGTAGTATCTTGCAGCTTGACAGAAGCGTGTGCACGCGCACACACACACATGCACACTGCTAGCAAACCCTGTGCCTGCTCCCCACGCCTGAGTCCCTCGCAGGAACGTGCTCAGGCTCTCCCGGGTGTGCAGTGTTTCCAGAAGGAGATGAAAAGACACAAAAGGAAAACCTGACAAGTTTGCCAATGTCTGTCTGGGGGATTTGCGAGCTGGCTGGCCCTGGGATGGACTCCGTTTAAACTCATCTGTGTCTTCCTCATGTGCCACTCTTCTTGGCTCTCATTAGAAATTCAGGGGCAGAGAACAAAGCAACCATGTTTGTTTTTGCCAAGCAGGAGGAGCCTGTTGCAAACGGTCCTGACAGCTGTGGCCTGTGTCTCTGCGAACTAAGGGCTTTTCCATGTTTCATTCAAGACTGTTTAGTCTGGTGGCTGAGGATTCATATATCAATCCTGGGCTCTCGTGTCATCGAGGTCGTTCTGATTTCCAGTGATTTCATTGTCGTCTGTCTTGGCCTCCAGTGAAAGAAAACACTGGGCGTCAAGTTATTGCAGGGTCACTTAAAAGCTTGCCTTTCTCCATTCACCCACTTTAATGGCCTTGCCAGTGCTTCCACAAAAGCCAAACGAACCTAGGCTGAGGCCCCAAGCAGCTCCTAATCAGTAACACCTGGATGGGAATCAGCCCCCTGCTCTCCCCCCTTGGCTGTTGCAGAAGTGGCAGTGCATCGAGGACACATCTGGCAAGCTGCGAATCCACAAGTGCAAGGGCCCCACTGACCTGCTCACAGTCCGCCAGAGCACGCGCAACCTCTACACTCGCGGCTTCCACGACAAGGACAAAGAGTGTCATTGCAGGGAGTCTGGTTACCGTGCCAGCAGGGACCAGAGGAAGAGTCAACGGCAGTTCCTGAGAAACCAGGGCACTCCAAGTAAGACACACTCCCAGGCAGACCCCTCTCCCAGGCAGACCTTAAAGGGACAAAGGACTGCTGCTCCTTCTGCATTTTTAGAGATTACCCATGCGTGCTTCTCAGGCTAATAACAAACTGTTTTCTTTATTTTTTCTTAAAGAAAGCTAAGAATAATTTGCTGTGTAAACATTTTAACCTAAGCATAAAATGAAAGGATATGTAATCAAAGACCGCATGCGAAATAGTCACTCATTTTTTTTTAACGAATCTATGAAGTGGTTATTCGGAAAAAAAAAATAGAAATACAGCTTAGGTCCATTTTATTTTATGTTCATGCTAATCTGATGATTTTTCTGCCTAAAAAAAATGCAGGTTTTCACTATGTAAGATGAGAAACGGAAGTACTTTTCTTTAAAAAGACATATACTTAAATCTCCATTAAGACACACATTTTTCTAAATTCTGCCATGTGGTTAGATATAACTGGCTGGCAGGTTCAGACTAGTTGCTATCAGTATGAAAAGCACTGCCTAGCATTTTCTTTATAAAAATCCCAGGATTATAGGAATTGAAAAATTCCCACTCTAACACCTTCTAAAAAAGAATGAGTCTACTGCCATCTGGTGGAATAGTGTGAAAGTGACTCAAGATTTGGAAGTCAAATTATCCGGCTTGAAAAGTGTAAATAAACCCTTAGAATAAGCATTTTTATCATGGACTCCACAAAATGGAATTTAGGATCACAAATACCCTGACATTTCATCCAAAACTATAAATATATTCTATGTGCATATGCATATTTTTGTCAATGTCAATGATATTAACAGAGTCCTTTTTTAAAGATTTTTGGGGAAGGTAGAGTGACAAAGAAAGAGGGGAAAAGGCAGAAAGAGATCTCCCACTCAGCTGCCAGGCCTTCTCCAAGCCAAAATCAGAAGCCTAGAACTCCATCTGGGTCTCCTAGGCGGGTAGCAAGGGGCCATCTTCTACAACATTTCCACTTGCTGGATGGGAAATGAAGCATCTGATATTCAAACTGGTGTTCCTGTGGGATGCCAGCATTGCAGTGGAAGTTTAACCCACTGCACTGCCTCTCAACAAATTCTTAATTAACTATTAATTAACTATTAATTAATTAACTATTAATTAACTATTGCTTTGGGGAATTTTTTTCCCCCTTCCAACGAGAAAAATCTCAGTTTTAATCATTTACAAAAGCATAGGAAGTATAGGTGGCCTTGAACTTGGGTGAGGGTACAGACTTCTAGTTTCAGCCTGGCCCAAACCTTGCCATTGCAGCTGTTTGGGTAATGAACTGGCAGACAGAAGATTTTCTTTCTCTGTCCCTTTCTCCCCTTCTCTGTAACTCTGCTTTCAACATGAACAAAATATTTTGAAAATAAATAGGTAATTTTTTTAAAACAATATAAGGCTTAAAATCACAAGGGACACGGCCTTGCAGCTGAATTGCCAAATGTGTCTCAGCAGCAGACTCCCCAAGGCCGGATGTCACTCCCTAAGAAGGCTGGGCCCACGCAGAAAGCTCAGCAGTGTTTTCCATCAGCGCAGAATCTAACAGACCTGGAAGGAGGAGTCACTTTTCTTCCCTTGTACTGTGATAGCTTACAGTTAAGCATAAAGTGAATATTGTGCAGCAAAACCTCAATAAAGAATAACTATTATTACTATTTATTTAAAACAAACTAGAAGAAGGCACTTTGTCACTATTATTAACACCATAACTGGGAACAGAGTTGTATCTGAACAAACTGCCTAGGTGGTTTCCATTGAAAACTGGACATTGCAGGTCACATCCTACTTTAAGCGGACAGTATGGCTGAGATCCTGCACTTGATCTTAGCCCAAAGGCCAAGAAACAGTATAGAGATCCTTCCTTGAAGGGTGAAGGCCCTGAGGGCTATAGAAGCAGAGTTGTCCTGCAGAGTGCTATGCAGTGACACAGCCATAGCAGCCACCTGCCTCCCCTGCAATGCCTTACCACAGGGTTGCCCTGGGCACCAGGCACCCCTCAGCAATGCACCAAGTCCTGTCTGCCCCTCACAAGATCTGACCATTTTCTTCCCTCCTAAACTCCACAAGGACACCCCTAGTAACATAACCTTCCTTATTTCCAGAGTACAAGCCCAGGTTCGTCCATACCCGACAGACACGTTCCTTGTCCGTGGAATTTGAAGGTGAAATCTATGACATCAACCTGGAAGAAGAGGAGTTGCAAGTGTTGCAACCAAGAAACATTGCCAAGCGCCATGATGAAGGCCCGTGGGGGCTGGGAGGCCGCCAGGCGGGCAGCGGTGGCAACAGGAACAGGATGCTGGCAGATAGCAGCAATGCTGTGGGCCCCACCACTGTGAGAGTGACGCACAAGTACGAAGCCTCTGCCTGCTCTTTCAGCTTGGGTTCGAAGTTGCTTCCACTCCCCAGTAGGACCACAATTTTGTGCTGCTTAAAATAGTGTCACTAGGACATCTGGTATCCGAGGGATGGTCACCAAAACAGCTGGAAACCCTAAGAGGCATTGAGGAACCCCAACAGTAATAGACTAGAATATGTGCTTTGGGTTCAATTTTATTTTGGGGCAAATCATTTGGGAATCAAGCCAGAGTAAACCTACCCCATATTAGCTTAGCAGCATAGAGTTTGTATCCCAAGGAATTATCTATGTTGACGTCTATAGAGTAGACCAAAATAGTTACGGGGGCTGGGAGTGGCTCTTCCGTGCTGCATGGCCACTGTTGCTCCTAGCAGTATCGTAGCTAGGACCTCAAAAACAAAGTACAGTCACAGGGAGGAAACTGGGTCTCAGAGACACTTCCAGAAAGATGATGTAGGTTAGCCACGGCTACTCACAGAAACCAGAAAGAAGATGGAAGTCAGGAAAGCAGAGAAGAGAGATGACTCCCCCAAAGCTTTAGTGGATTCACTGGCTTTTCAGTTCCTTCCAAAACGACTTGCTCTCTTGATGAAGAAACTATCTCTTTCCGAATTTACTTTGGTTTTTTGTGGGTTTTTTTTTTTTGCCCCAGTTGCATTTCTTGGGGTGGGGGAGGTACCGTGGTCCTGCCAGGGTTTTATCTTCGGGGTTGGCCTCAGTGCCTGCAGTTGTCAGAGTGATATACTAAGAAGATGTGGGCTGGCATCCATTTCTCTTGCATTATACATTGACCCTTACAGCCCACCTGCTCTCCATCTCTGGGGCTGCTTCTTTGCTTCAGAACATAATGGCATACTTAAGGCAAGCCCTTTAGAGCAGAATTAATGGGAGGAATACTCCCTTCCTGGCTCTGCATTTCTTCAAACAAGCCATTTTTATTATGACTGTAAAAAAATCTTTTCTCTCTCTCTCTATCTGCTTATGCTTCCAAAACTTGAGTTCTGGGGTGGTATGTGCTCCAGGAAGCATGTATCTGCTTATGCTTCCAAAACTTGAGTTCTGGGATGGTATGTGCTCCAGGAAGCATGAATTTTGAGAGCTGCCTTGAAAAGTGACATCATCCCTTGCCCAGCCAAATGCCAGGATGTGTTCCACATATCCTGCCTATGGATACGTAGACTCCAAGCCTACCATTTGTATCAGTGTTAGTAGCTTAGAGTGTCATTATGGTCTCTTTGAAACGTAAAGCTATTTTCTTATACTTTGGTTTACTTGTGCAGGTGTTTTATTCTTCCAAATGACACAATCCATTGTGAGAGAGAACTATACCAATCAGCCAGAGCCTGGAAGGACCATAAGGCATACATTGATAAAGAGGTGAGTATGGCCATGTGACATAGGATTTATTCCAAATCTAAGCTGTTTTCTAGCCCTGCTGTGATGGTGGGATATATGATGTGCCCAAGTCATTGTTTTTGTAATTACATAAGAAAGCAAATGATCAAAAAAAGAAAAACCAGTGATTGTGCTACAAACCATAACGTGAGAGGAGAGTAAGGATGGACTCAGTAGCCCTCTGAAGACTCTGTAGGAAAATTATTTATGTATGGAAATGATTTAATTATGAAGATTCAGTTAGAGCATAAGGTGTTTTCAAAAAACTCCTGGAAACGCATATTATAAAAATAATCTAGGCGCGGAACATAAGTTTCAAAATTACACCAAAATAAATTATCTTTTCAGTTCCTTTTCCTACTTTTTTTGAGCAAGCAAGGGAAAAAAAAAAAAAGCTCCCATCCACTGATTCAAATACCTTACAATGGCCAGGACCAACTCTGGCCAGTGGAGCCGGAAATTCATTCTAGACCTCTCTCGGCAGCAGAAGTATGCTTCCTTGAGCCATCACTGCCATGCTCCAGTTCCTGCACTTCCTGAATGCTGCAATCAGGAGCCAGAGCTGGGCCTTGACCTTAGTAGGTGGGATGTGAGCGATGTTCCTGCTGTGCTCATCCCTCGGCCACTCACCCACCCCTCCAGGAACTTGTGGACGCTCCCTCATATGTTCCCTAACAAACTGTTGTCTCCAGTTCGTAGTTACAGGAACAACCCATACGGAGTCAAGAAAAGCACTTGGCAAGGTAAGATGTGACCGCAAAGGCCGTTTTTCAAATCCGTGTCTTCCAGATCGAAGCTCTGCAAGATAAAATTAAGAATTTAAGGGAAGTAAGAGGACATCTGAAGCGAAGAAAGCCTGAGGAGTGTAACTGTGGCAAACAGAGGTGGGTGTGGAGCTCCGGCAGCTGCTTTTCCTTGCCTGGTCTCTCCCACATGGGCTGCAGGGCAGAACAGCAGGCTCCTTTCTCTGTTTTACCAACAGAAAGCAAAATACAAATGCATTGCCTTATGATGATTAGCCTAACCTATTGAAGTAAAATGTAAAATTAAAAATCTGCCATAAAGTCAAGCAGCAAGAACAAAGTCCCATGCGGTTAAAAGAGTTGCAGTAGAGTGACAGCTTCCTTTCTCTGCTGCTATCTCTTCATAAAATGAACTGCTAAGGTCAAATGCAAGGTTGTGAAAGACTCACTTTTTAACCTTCTTGCCTGCAGCTATTACAGTAAAGAGAAAGGCGTGAAAAAGCAGGAGAAATTGAAGAGCCATCTTCACCCATTCAAGTAAGTCATGCTGTGTTTTCCACATTTGCTGGGTGTCAGGGTCTGTGCCCTGGGCACTTCCGGAAGGTGGAAGAGTTCCATGTGAGCAAAGTGCCACTGCCTTGGAAAAGGCAGATCCACTCAGCATGGTGCATAGTCCAAGAACAGGTGCACAAACCCTGTACCTCCTCGGCTTACCATGTGATGCTCTGCAATCCTTTGACAAGTGACAACTATACATATATACGTATGTATATGTATATGTACATATATATATATATATATATAGCAGTTTCTAATCCTGTGGGGGGGGGGGCCTCCTCAATGGAACCAATACCCAGACTGTATGCAGAGTGACTGAGAGTGGCAAAGTCTCTACTGATTAGATTGGTGTGTTCTGTAGAGCAGCCTGTAAGATCATTTTGTTCTGAAAGTGAAAATAAGCATGCATATTCGAAAAAAAATAATAACAGCAGAAATTGCACATCAAGGAGAGTCAATACTTAGGCCTCAACAGTGTTTTGAAATGTCAACACAATGAAAAAGGAAGACAAATCAATTCAAAATATTGGCTCTCCCTACCTATTTTGTAGAATTTATCAAAGAATTTTTTTAACCTTCTGAAAACGAAGCCATCTGATGCAAGGTATCATGGATTCAGCAGCTGATGGTTCTGGACCACCAGATTAAGACAGTTGCGCAAACGGGATGGCCAGCAGCAACCTGTGATTCACACTGGCTTTCACTCCTATCAGTGTTCCCACGTAAACATGGAAGAAGAGACTGATCGCGTTAGGGTTCATAAGTCCTGAGAGAGCTATCATTGAATGAATTGACCTTCTGTCCACAGACCACTTACTCTGCAGGATGTGTTCTTATGCAGCTAAATGCTGGCGCACCATTCAGAACACTAACCCCATTTTTAACTGAGATACTATTTTCTGATCGCTAAAACCAGTCTCTTCTGCTGCGATAGGGAGGCTGCCCAGGGAGTAGACAGCAAACTGCAGCTTTTCAAGGAGAACCGGAGCAGGAGGAAGGAGAGGAAGGAGAAGAAACGTCAGAGGAAGGGCGAGGCGTGCAGCGTGCCTGGCCTCACCTGCTTCACGCACGACAACAACCACTGGCAGACGGCCCCGTTCTGGAACCGTGAGTCGCTGCTTCCGGCCACCCCTCCGACCCTGCGGCGCCTACCCCGGGAACACTGACCAGGCACTCTCAAAAGATGGAGGGCATCCTACCTAGCACAGTCCATACTCACAATGTGAATCATTGTGCCTCCCCGCAAAAAAAAAAATTTTTTTAAGGAATTTAGGGAAGGTTGTGTGTGTGTGTGTGTGTTTTGTTTTAAAATGCCAACTCTTCCTTGAGTTTTTTCTCCCAAAGATGTTGTCCTGCGGAGCATCCACCACTTGGCAGAACTCCGCTGGGAAAGACTGTTCTGTGGGTAAATAACCCAGTAACTGGGGAGCAATTTGGCTACAATGTTTCTGTCTCATGTCAAGGGCACACTCTGAGTGTAACAAACGAAAGTAAAAGAAAGATACAAGTCCACTTCTTGGTGATTCTCAGTCCCCTTTGGTGCTCCGTGTGTGTGAGAGAGAGAAATAACAAGAATTCCACATAATTATTTGATTTTATATTGAATTTCTGAGGGTGCAAAGTCAAATCAGTGCTTTTATTTAAAAAAAAAAAAGGACTTGCCCTTTTTGTTAGTTTCTAGTTATTTACTTGTTTGCTTGTTTTATTTATCTAAAAGACAGAGAGAAAAAGACATCTTTTGTCTCCTGATTTGCTCTCCAAATCATGACATCCACTAGAGCTGAGCTGTGCTGAAACCAAGAGCCAGGGACTATCTCCTGGTCTCTGATGTGGGCAGGAATGGCTGAGGTGCTGAAGCCATCACTTGCCACCTCCAGGGCACTCATTAGCAGAGCCAGGACTCAAAGCAGGCATTCCCATAGAGGATGTGAGTGTCCTAAATGGCATATTAGCCACCGTGCCAAATTCCCACCTGGTACACAAGTATTTCTCTTAGCGGTGTACATATATCCACTGAGGCCATATGAAAACAACATCCGTATTCTTGTGGGGCATCAGTCAATGACAAGCTTCACGGGCCACAGAGGTGAGACACCAAATCTGGTGACTGAGTCTCTGGATACCGCCCTGCCTCTGCTTCACCCTCAGATCGGGAGACTCCAAGGAGTCCATAGGCCATCCTAAGGTCAATCCATGGCCTCTCCAACAGGATGTTTGTTTCATCTTCCTGTTTTGACACGTCTGGATTTCAGTGTTCGTGTGTGCATTTATGTGTACAATTGCATGAATACTGAATGAACACATACAGTCACAGCATTAAACTTTCTTTTTTTTTAAGATTTATTTTATTTTTTATTGGAAAGGCGGATATACAGAGAGGAGAGACAGAGAGGAAGATCTTCCGTCCGATGTTTCACTCCCCAAGTGACCACAACAGCTGGTGTTGCGCCGATCCAAAGCCAGGAGCCTCTCCTGGGTCTCCCACGTGGGTGCAGGGTCCCAAGGCTTTGGGCCGTCCTCGACTGCTTTCCCAGGCCACAGGCAGGGAGCTGGAAGGGAAATAAAATAAAATAATAATAAAATAATAATAAAAATAAATCTTTAAAAAAAAAAGAAATTAAATTTAAAGAACTGGGAACATTGAGCAAGCCACCTTGTTCTCTGCCTTCATTGTACTTAGGTTTAAATTAGGGGAGTTTACATATGGAAAGAAAATGAGATAAATGAAACAATAATAAGCTGGAATTATGCTGTGAAGGAAGCAGTGATCAAACAAACCACAATTGTTAAAGAGGACCCTTGGGAAAGCAAGGAGTTAACCAGCCTCTGCAAAGAGGAGAAATTCCAGCTGAAACCAAAAGGCAGGGCCAGGCAATCCACGTGGGAGGGAGCAACCACCCAGACAGAGGGAACTGCTTGAGCAGGACCAGGAGCAGTGAGCCTTTGCTTGTGTCCAGAGCTGGAGGCTCCTTGAAGGAGGAGGTAGTAACGATATATAGTCATAGTCTTGCACGCCAGAAGACGACACCAAACTTCCACCTGCCTACCACCTCCCAACGCACTAAGACCAAGCCACCACCGCGTCTTAGCTCAACCATTGCCTCCCCTCCTCAGTGGTCTCTCAGACTCCCCTCTACATCCTGTTCAGAGGAGTTAGAGTGGCCTCTGGATGATGCCCTGTGTTTTAGGGCTAAAGAGTAAAGTCCTCAACATGGCCTGTGGGCGGTGATCCAGTCCCGCCCCAGCCATGTGCTCCCACCTCTGCCTGCTCCACTACTTGCCTTCTCGTTCTCTGTTGACCAACCCAAGCTCCCTCCTACCACAGGGTCTTCACACATCTTGCCTCCTCCTTCCATAAGGTTCTTCTCCTGTGTCTATCAAACACCTGCTTCCTCTTCAATCCCTATTGCAAGGTCACTTCTTTTTTTTTTTTTTTTTAAAGATTTATTTTTATTATTTTTTTATTGGAAAGGCGGATATACAGAGAGGAGAGACAGAGAGGAAGATCTTCCATCCGATGATTCACTCCCCAAGTGAGCGCAACGGGCCGATACTATGCCAATCCGAAGCCAGGAGCCTCTTCCGGGTCTCCCACGCAGGTGCAGGGTCCCAAAGCCTTGGGCCGTCCTCGACTGCTTTCCCAGGCCACAGGCAGGGAACTGGAAGGGAAGCGGGGCTGCCGGGATTAGAACCGGCGCCCATATGGGATCCCGGGCGTGCTAGGCGAGGACCTTAACCACTTGCGCCACCGCGCCGGGCCCCTGCAAGGTCACTTCTGAAGGACACATCCCCTGTGGCTCAGGCCATGGAGGCCACTGTTACACTACACTGTCAGCGTGTCCTCTGTTTTCTCTATGAGAGTGATCATGTTTACAGTTATGTATGTTGTTTCACTTGTCTTTTTGCTTAACTCTGATCTCTAGGCTATACATTTCTGAAGATAAGAGATCGTGTCTATAGGACACTGCATCCTCTCGGTGCTAAATAAATATGTATATATAAACAAGCAAATTACTCCAATATAGCTCAACTCATATCAACACAGCTAACCTTTTGAGTACCACTGAATGTCACCATGTAACAATGTGAGGAATAGAAAGTGAGTCAAAAAAAAAAAAAAAAGAAAAGAAAAGAATACCCTGCAGTTACTCAGGTCTTTCAGGATCAAAATGGAGACTTGATTTCACTTGGTACCAAATCTGATGCACTGGGCAGTGTGCGTTGCATTGTTGATGGTCATGGTGTCAGTATTCTGGGACACTTGGTTTCAAATTTCCTTTGGCAGTAACTCACAGTGACAAATACATCTTAGGATCTTTTATCCATAGTGTGCATACACAGATAGTGTGTCTGCGTAATTGCGTGTATGCTTGTAATACATATACTGTAGGTAATGTATATACTTCAATTGAATTTTTAAAAATCAATATTATGTCTCATGCCATCTTTTTTGTCTATTCTGTTTCCTATTTTAAGGAAATGTTATATTGTCGCGTTCCTAGTATTCATAGTACCAACTTGAGCTTTTGGCATAGTGGTGGATATTCAACAACATAAAGTAGAAAAGTCAGATCCATCCCCAACAAGTCACCTCCTGTTGCAATGGCTTCTGGACTTTTTAAAGAATATATCCATGTCTGCTTTTGAAATGACCACAAAGCCAAAGAGAGGTCAAAGTAGGCTGCCTGATGCACCTTAGCTTTTGCATTAAAAAAAAATCATCATCTTTCTTTCTCTTTTTCACCTGGTTTCACAGCAAATGTGTATGGAGCAGGAAAAGGGCTGTAGATATACAACATCAAACCACAACATCTATGGGGGAAAAAATGAACCTCAAAGTGTAAAGCCAAACTCTGGAGCAGCTTGCTACAAGGTTATTCATTCTTTTTGGTTTGTTTTTCTTTTCACCCACCAGTGGGATCATTCTGTGCTTGCACAAGCTCTAACAATAACACATACTGGTGTTTGCGAACAGTCAATGAGACACATAACTTTCTCTTCTGCGAGTTTGCTACTGGCTTCCTGGAGTATTTTGATATGAATACAGATCCTTATCAGGTAAGACAGTATGTTCCACTTCATGAAGGTTGTTGGGAATAGGGTCGTCGTAGCAAGAGCTGAAGCACGTTGTCCTGCCCTCTTCCTCCCCAGCTCACAAACACAGTGCACACAGTGGAACGAGGAGTTCTGAATCAGCTACATGTTCAACTAATGGAACTCAGAAGCTGTCAAGGGTACAAGCAATGTAACCCAAGACCTAAAGGACTTGACATGGGTAAGGAAAAGATTTATCTTGTTTTATATCACCAACTGCTACCAGGTTTTCTGCCTTTAAAATATTCCTGTGCATAGAAACTTCCAGTTGGTGATAGTTACACAGGAAACTTTCCAGGTAATTCCACACGTAATTGGCTCTCTAAACTTAGCTCTGGATGCATTAATGGAAAACTTAATCCACCAAAACGTTCAGTGAGCACTTCCTTCGAATCTGTCACGCAGGTCTATTCAATTAGTAAAGCTTGATTCCTGGTAGAAGCATCTACCAGAAACGAAATGAAAACTTTAGCAAAGTCTTTGTCATCGCTGTAAACCACAATTTCCTCTTCTTTGAGAGAACATAGATGGAAACACACACTGCTGCATTTCTGCTTATCACATTTTGAAATGACCTCTGTTGGATCCAAGCTCATGTCATAGGGAATTAGATTTCTTATACAGGTTTTTCCCATCTGAAACTAGAGACGTATGAGGAGTACATTAGCTTGGCATCTATCAGTAGACAAGGGCCTCATTGGCTCCTGCCAGATGTTCCCTCCCTGACCTGCTGTGTTAAACTCACTTCCTTTGGTGCAGGGGAATGCAGCTCTTTGCGATGTGATCCCCAGCTCTTCTGTGGATAATGAAAATACCCATTTCCTTCTCATCATTTCTGCAGAAATTGAAATGTCAGTGGTCCATAGCAGGAAGGAAAAAGAGCTGAAGATGATAAGGGTATTACCATTGGCACAGCAAGTCAGTCCCAAAAGGAAGAACTGGCCTTTCAGGTGTTTGAGAGCAGTTTTCTTGCAGCTGTTTCCTGGGATCTTTTATAGCTGTATGTCTGAGCCCAGGCAGAGCCAGCAGCACCAACCATTAAAGTGGGCAGCTCTCTGGGCCATGTGCATTAAAGAGGGAATATGGTCCCATCCCAAAATAGACAATCTCCTCTCCTGTCGTTTCCACCACTATAGGATTCTAACAATTTTCATGCTATAGAGTCCCAGAGGAAATTATAAGTCCTGTGAGAAATGTCACATCCCAGGCCTCAATCAACACTTCTCAGTTAACACCTACTTGGGTGGAATTGCTAGGGGGACTAGACTCACAAAATAGGTCTCTTGTCACTGACCCCACTCAGTTCAAAGTTTTTTCAAATATTCTTATCTAGTGATCTTTTCCTCCAATCTCACAAAGAAAAGGAAGAAAGAGAGAGATGAAGAAAGAAAGGACCCACCAGAGCCTGGAATCTAAACCAACTAGTCAACACACTTTACTTGTTAAACCCAGATATTTCTTCCCAAAAGATCATAGCTTTCTTGACTCCTATGGGTGATGACATAACAGTTCTGCTTGGCGAAATCCGATAGCATCTCTTCATAGTGAAACAACACCAGGTGGAGCCAGTTATTGCTGTTGCACTTCAAGCAGTCCTCTCAACACTTTGGATCATCTCAATGGTTGATTATTAGCGGCCCATTTTTTCAAGTATTTCATCTAAAAATAACCAAAATTTAACTTTGAGAATTCCACAGACTTGTAGAATTATTTTTTCTCATTGCTTTTAAATGAACTCTCCTCCCTTCTTATCCACTCTCAATTTTTCTGCCGTGTCTCATGTATATGTATATATTTAATCTTAAACCTTTTTACTTTTAGCTTTCAATCCTCATTTTTGTTAAACCTAATAGAAAAAATCTCTGTTGGACTCTAGCCCTCACTGTATTTAACATAATATATTTCTTTCTAGGATTTAGATGTTGTGCATGGAAAACTGCATAGTGAATGGTTTATGAGTTCTAAATCTAACATAAATTACTCTTCTATTTTCCTATATCAGGAAATAAAGATGGAGGAAGCTATGATCTACACAGGTATTCACACTTTTTTATTCTCGGCAGCTTCTTTCCCAATAATTGCATGTTCCAGTTATTTCAACTAATTTCTGTTTCTTCCCATGTCACACAGGGTGTAGCTTGGGGTGCATGTCTGTTCTAACAGCATTCTCTGCCATCTTGTGTCATTGGTTACAAACTTTTCATTCTGCTTTCCGATCACTTCACTGCCTCAGCAAGACATCTTTCGGAGCATTTACTCATTGCCATGTTTTTGTTGTTGTTGCTGTTTTTTGTTTTATTTGGTTTTGTTTGTTCGCCTGTTGGATGATGCTTTTAAGCATGAAATGTCATGAAAGGAATGGGAGTGGATGGGGAGGACAGCAGACTGGCCTTGGAGAGCTTTGGAGAGGGTGGGAGATGAATGTCTTTGTCATGTTTACACTTTGTTTTCCTCACGGAAACAAGCCATAGAGTTCTATTAAATAATTATCCAAGGTACACAAGGACTGATGAATATTTTAAGAGCATTCTCAAATGCTCATTCACTATGTTGGGGAAAATCTAGGAATTTCCTGGCCAGTGGTCTTTAGTTAACTTTTCTTACCAAATCAGCAGCCATTCATACAAGTCAGAAGACTCTATAAGGAAGTGATGAATAAGTAAGTTGTGCTACTGGGTGGGAATACATACCTGAGGTCAAAGCATATTTCCCCCAAAAACAATACTAAGGCAATAGTGTCTGACATGTAAAACCTCCAAAACAACCTTCAGCCTCCTCATCTTACACCATTTCTAACCCTCATCCACACCTCCTATCGCATAGTACTGGAAAAAATCATCAGACACCTGCTGGCCTACCGCTTAGTCATTCGGCAGTGGCAACCACTGCCAATTTTCACACCAAGCAGTGACATTATAGATCTGCAAAAGTGTACTGTGCAGTGTAGACAGGGACTGGGGAAGCAATAACACTGAGGCATTTGTGTGTCATGCGCATCCTGGTTGGTACATTTAATTGGGGAAAATGTTTTCCATAAAACCAAAATAAAACAAAACAAAAAAAACCATGAACTTACTTTGTGCCATCACACTGATATATTCCCAGAGAAGCAAGAGGATTGCCGGTCCAAGGCACCTTGCTTATGTCCTGGTAAGCACCTCGGCTCCCGGCTTTGATCTCAGCTTCCTCCTTTCAGAGGCAGTTCATTAGTCCCTGGACAAGCCAGATGGTCATAGGAGAGGCAGTGTGGAATACAGACACCAGCAGAAAGACAAATGATGCTGGGCTATTGAGGCTAGTTTATTACCATTTATGTATCTCTTTTTTATCTTCTCAATCCCACCTTCCCACTTCCTTTATTCTGCCCAACATCAGTCATGTCTCCTTCCTCCTCTAAGCACATGAAGATGAGACAATAGCAAAGCATTCTTTTTAAACTTTTTTTTTATTTTTACCTTTTTGATTTAAGGAGAGAGAGAGAGAGAGAGGAAGAGAGGTGACCATTTGTTATTCACTCCCCCAGATGCCCAGGGTGATCAGAGGCAACGCTAGCAGCCATGAGCTCAGAACAGGTTTGGCCTGAGAGTGGCGTGAACCAAACACATGACAAGGACTGCATGATCAGGAAATTGGAATCAGGAGCAAGAAGTAGATACCACACCCAGGCATTCTTACACAAGACCTTAGCGTCTTAACCAACGTACTAAACAAACACCTTGCCAAAAACACTCAAGTCAGCCGAGGTCTATGCCACCTACTTCCCCTGGATCACATTAGAACATTTCCAAAGCGTGACACTGTATTTGTCCTAACACTAGACATTGGCTGTCCAGTTATTCTATCATGTATTCAGTTTTGTAGCTAAGGATTTTTCAGTCTAGTGTTCTTTTACTTTTGTCATGAAAAAAGGCTAAAAAGTTGGGTTATTTCCACCATCGCACCAGTTAGAACTGAGTTATTCACTAAGTCATCTTTCCTTTGAAGTAAAGAATGGTTAATTGCTCTTAAAAGGTAATTCAATGACCTTTGTGTTTTGGTTTCTCCCTTTCTTGGGCCTCTGCCAACACTACTCAAAGGGTGAAATAATCAACTGTTTCTTGGATCATTTTCATATGGCATTCACAATATTACCTGTTGATGGTCTGTGTACAGGAGTGACATGTAAGCTCATGTAAGTGTCCTTATCAAGGCTCCTCTCCAGGGAGCAACACTAAGGCAACCTTATAACTCAAAACAATCTGGTATTTTCAGGCATAATCTGTAGGGAACTTAACTTTGTTGTAGCTATCCATGTTGCAGACAGAAAATCTTGACACAGAGTTACTTAAGAGAACAACTACCAAGTCATGTCTGGGACTCAGGAAGCCCCCAAATGCAACATTTGATGGGAACCTCACTGCTCACCATGTGTTGTTGGATTGAATGGGAACCCAAAACAAGTCATGGTATATGTGTAGAATTTCTACAAAGACTGCCTTTTCAAATCGTGCTAACCAGTATACAGTGCACCCTGCATATTACTCTCCCTCTCTCTCTCTCTCTCTATATATATATACTATATGCATATTACTGGCATCCTCAAAGGGGTTTCAGAAACCTTCCTCTTACAGATTTTGATGGTTTTACAATTCTACTTAAAGGAATTTTAAATCATGAAATTTGGTGACATGATTCAGCAGTTAAGAATTTTCATAAAGTACCTATATCCTATCAAAGTGTCTGAACTAAAATCTTTCAATTCCTGCTTCTTGCTCATGTGCCCCCTGGGAGGCAACAAGTGATGGCTCAAGGACTGGGATTCTTCTCACCTGTGTGGTAGACCTGGGATATGTTCTTGGCTACTGATTTTGGCCTCACCTAGTCCTAACTGTTGTAAACATTTGGGGAGTTAACCAGTAGCTGGAAGAACACTTCTTGCCTCTCCTTTACTGTTGTCTAAAGTTTTTGATAGAAATTTTATGAGAAAATAATTTGAGAGACATAACCAGATCTGTTTAATTTTAAATTTGAAAATTCAAGAGTATTTTTAAAGCATTTATCTTGCACAAGTTAGATTTTTTTAATGTATCTTTTCATGCTTCCTTTTTTCTGATGAATTTTGAAAAGTTGATCTTTAGACTTAATGTGAAGTGTCTTTACAAGACTAATCTGTCCCCATACCTATGACATGCATGGTATGAAGCACAGAGAGCTGGTTTACAGTGGTCATCCTTGAATTTCACATCAGAAAGTGGAACGCATGATGTAGGGAATGATCTTTACAGTGAGTCGGAAGTGATCCTGTCTACCTGTCTACCTGTGTTGGTGTTTGCAAAGGAGAAGGATCTACAGACTGATGCGGCTTCTTTGTGATGGCCCTATGACAGCTGATGTTGATAGTGCTCTCTGATGTCAAAGAAGAACTTCCTGTGCCTGTGGTCCCATGCGCAGCAGCTGATGGGCAGCTCTTGGCAGCTCTGCAAGGACAGCTTCCTGAGCCTTTGCTCCAAGCCCGTGGCAGTCAGGCTCTGCTCATGTTGCTACCAACTGTGTTGATTCAAGTCTCCCTAGAGTAGAAATGTATGTCTAAGATGACTGAGCAGAGTACTGTGGTTGTGAATATGGATACTAGAGCCAAGCTGCATGGGCTCAAAGCCTAGCCTCACTGGTGACCATGCTTAGAACAGTCTGAAGGTAGCAAGCCCCAGTGAGTTGTGGGCTCAGAAAAGGAGACATGGACCACTTTCATCAATAAGACTATGTAAAAGGAAGTAGAAAGTAATAGTAATGCCGAATAATGTCAGAATATTTCATTAAAAAGTCAAAAAGGAGAACTTGCCAGCATCAACCCCACCTCTGTTATATATCACTGGTAAGCAACCAAGAGTCGAGAGACCACAAACCATTTTCTGTGCTGTCTCTGGAGATGTAAAGAAAGCTCCCACCCTTCACCACCCTGCTGTACGATGTCCTGCTGAGCTTCCCTTGGTTCTCTTCTCTCCATCTTGTCTCAGAGATATGCTATACCATTTCACTGCTGCCTTGCTAGCACTGTTAGACTTTTCTGTTTCAGGTACATAAATGAGAGATGGAGCAAGATCAGAAGGTGGGGATGAAAGGGACAGAGGTGAAGCTGGCCTCCTAAGACAATGAGGAGACATAGTCCAAGGTGGCTGGGTGTGAGTCAGATCCAGGAACCCTGTTTGCAGTTGCATAGTTTGTAAGGGTGGGCACTGAAGCCAGGCGAAGTAGCTCAACTGGACACGCCACATGAACAGTGGTGAAGGTGGGGTTGACATTGGTAGTCAGTCTGGTTAAGATCAGATTTGGGGTTAGTCTTGGCTTATTTGTGTTTACCTTTCCTAAGAGATTCCACTCAGTGTTCCTTTTTTCTTTTATATATAAATTGTTTGTGCCATAAAAGGAGGTAAAGCATAGCAGTTGTGAAACTTTCTAACAGCCTCCCCACACCGAGGAATAAAATTGACTTTTAACCAGTTTACTGTATAGGTGGGAAGTGATAGGAGAATTTTTGTGCACATTTTTCCATTCAGCAAGTAAATAAAAACAGAAAAGAAATTTACATGACCACCTCTACGAAGGTTACAGACTTCATAAAGTAAGTCAAGTAGCAGAACTATGAGGAGCCTTCGGAAAATTCATTAAAAAGCCATACTTAATTTTTAAAATTGTGCACAGATTTCAAAAGATTTTTAGTAATTTTGTTTTAATTCTGTTTTTCCATAAACTTTTTCTCACCCTCATATAATACACAATGCAAAATGCTTTAGCAGAGAATATGTTTCCATGAGAGCCATGGAAAACTTTGTAAACCCCACCCAAGGAAATCCAAAGAACCTCCCCTGGGAGGAGCCATTGGTGTTCCACTTGGAAGGCAACATTAGGGTGATGCCAACATGAGTTTAAGCACATCAGGCCAGCCAGAAGAGAGAGCTACGGGGCAGTGCAAATAGTTCAACATGAGTTTAGGAGAAGGGAAGGGAGAAGAAAGACAAAACTAAACAGGATGCAAATGCAAGGGCCATAGGGAGATCAGCGTGGACAAACCAGACATTTTGGCCACTCTAGTTAAATGTTACATCAAAGATGCTGAAAACCCTGAAAGCCACAGAAAAACATTTGTGAGTGTTCAACCAGAAGAAATAATAGAAGATCTGTATTGGTAAGAATCCTCACGAGAACCAATGTGCAGGTCAGACTTAGTTCAACTTCTGGCTCCACCACTCCTGAATTTATGGGACTATTTACTGACAGTATTATGTAATGTATTATATTTTAACATTCTTTGACATGCTTTAAATACATTGACTCATTTAACATTCATGAGGATTCTGTAAGGTTATTATTATTATACCTATTTTTCAGATGGAAAAATTAAGTCACAGAGTCACTTAGTACTTTCCCAGGATGAGACAGTGCTAAGGGATAAAATAGCGTTTCAAACTCAGCATCTACTGTGTCCTGTTACATG